TTATGACTCAGGCTCCGGACTCCAACTCTGAAGCCTCTGAGGAGCAAGAAACTCCAGAAGACTTCTGCAAGGCCCATCTGCTCCAGAACTTGCCCCCGAGGAACCTGCAGTGGGAGATCTTCTGGCAGAACATCACCCAGATCCTGGGACAACTAAGTGCCAGTCCAGGACTCGGTCCACAAGCCCACCAGAATCTGCCTCTACCCTGTTGGAGTAGTGGAGACGGAGGGCTTGTGTCAAGATAGCCCAGCGAAGACATACGGCCAGCTGGCAGTCCGTACTCTACCTCCCGGGCCAGATCATGATGGATGTAATCCGTTGCAGGATTCTGCCCTCAGTTAAGCCTGACAAGATGAGTCCCAGGTACTGCTTACAGAGCAGGTGGAGCTGCTGTCCTCTCAGCCTACTTAAGCCTTGGGCTGGGAGAGGACACTGCTAGATCAGCCAGTCCACTAGGCATAAGCCTGTGTTTGTGGTCCAGCTCCTTGTTTACACCTTCTGTTCACACTCAAGCCTTGCTACCTGAGCCTGAGGACACTATTGCTTGAGCAGACCTGACTGGCCCTGCCTGTGGAAAACAGGACACAGCTTAAAACACAGCTCTCTGTTCAATATCCCATTCTTAATGAATTAATTTTCTGATGGGAAAACATTGATTTTGGCAGTCATCCTCTGGTGAACGTAAGGTTACCCCATCTACTGAAACAATACCATGTGAGTTAAGATGCCATTAGGAAAAAATATTAACACATTGTGTTGAAGCACTGAAGGATTGTTTTCTGCTGCTACTAAGCATTTGCCAACCAAGAAAAATGCATTAACTGATCCAAGTATATCCTACCAAACCTTCATACCATTTAGATTCCCCTCCCCCTTCAATGATAGGGTCTTTCTGCTCCACAAAGTTATGTTAACAAGGGCAGAACACATAAAGAAACCTGGCTTCAGGTGTGTGTGTGCGTGTGTGTCTTGGCTATTCTCATACAGTGGGTTTGTTATTACCAGCTTTTTGACTGTTGAGTGTTGACAGAAGTTTGCAATATTACCAGGATAAGTAGGCGTAGCAAAATTAGGATCCACTGATGGTAACAGAAAATCCATCCAATTTCTTTATCTCATAGGGGTAAACTTGATTTTATTATCTTCTTCATAGCTCTTTCATAGCTGTAGATGCAAGTTACTAAATTATATATTAAAAAACCCTGTTATATAATAAGATTACCATGCCAGAATATACAATGCATCTTTGGGAAATAGCCATTCTTTTCTGTAGAAAGAATTTGTTTGACAAGCCTCTAAATTATTCCCTTGGGAATTTTTTTACTGTCTTAAATGTGTTTATTCCTTTGCCTCTTGCTAGATCATGCTTGTGTTGATTGCCCATTAGCAACAAATGAACACAACGGTTTATTTGATTCCTTTATGAACTGTAGAAGGGTCAGAGTTATGACTCCAAATAACATCAACAGGATAGGGAGAAAGAAATATGGCAAGAAGCCCAGGAAAAGGCAAGTTGAGTAGGAATGGGAATTGGACACAAAGACAGTAAGCCTTCAAGCCAGTCTTCATTAAGTAGTTTTATAGTCATTGGAGAAGAATAATGGTGTAATATATGACATATGGAGACTTATGAATGTTACCAGGAGTATTATACAAAGTAATATAAATCTGTGGTGTGACCACATTCAGAATACTGTGTGCTATTCTAGTCTCTTATCTCAACAATGGTATCACTGAGGTGGAGAAAATACATAAAAGGGCAACTAAGAACAGTCAAGATATTGGAGCATTTACATTATGACGAAAGATTTAAGCATGCAGGACTTTTTACTTCAGAAAAAGATTATGCTTATGGCATCATGAGACAAAAGAGAAATAAATTATTTTCTTTCAAAACGGTAGGACTTGCTTTTTTATTTTATTTTCTAGAAGCAACAAATGGCATGATAAATGAGAACCAGCCCAAACTTTTGGTACTATAACTAGAGTTGCCAACTCACTAGAACAGCCTATACTTATGTCTGATGAGGTTTGCACACCTAACTGTTGCTAAAGACACAAAAGATGGACTGTTAAGTAAAACTGGCAATCCTAGTTGTGACAGTAGAAAAGAGCAAGAGTCCAGTAGCACCTTAAAGACTACCCCTGAAGAAGTGAGCAGTGGTATCTGAAGAAGTGAGCAGTGACTCACAAAAGCTCCTATCCTGTCACAAATGTTGTTAGTCTTTAAGGTGCTACTGGACTCTTGCTCTTTTCTACTGCTACAGACAGACTAACATGGCTAACCATCTTGATCCAGTTGTGACAACAGCTTATGTATCATGTAGGTAGATTGAGGTTGCAAGTAGCCACATTCAGCCCAAAGCCAAATCCCAAGCTCCCATAGAAGCCAGCATGCTGTAGTGACTAGAGTGTCATACTAGGATCCAGAAGACCCTGGTTCAAATCCCCAGGGTGTCATGAAGCCTGCTGAGTGAATTCGGACCAGTCATTCTCTCTTGGCTTAACCTATCTTACAGGGCTGTCATGAGGATAATATGGAGGAGGGGAGGACAATGTACACCACGCTGAGTTCCTTGGAGGAAGGGCAGGAAATGTACTAAATAACTAAAACAAAAACCATATAATAATAATATAGGTAAAGGTTCCCTTGCTCGAAAGCCAGTCAAATCTGACTCTAGGGTTGTGGTGCTCATCTCCGTTTCAAAGCCGAAGAGCCAGCGCTGTCCGAAGACGTTTCCGTGGTCATGTGGCCGGCATGACAAAACACCAAGGCGCACGGAATGCTGTTACCTTCCCACTGAAGTGGTACCTATGTATCTACTTGCAATTTCTTGCTTTCGAACTGCTAGGTTGGCAGGAGCTGGAACTAGAGACAGAAGCTCACTCCGTCATGCGGCACACTCGGGTCTCGAACTGCTGCCCTTCCACAGCCTGCAGTTCAGCATCTTAACCACTTGAGCCACCGCAGCTCCATAATAATAATATACCACATGGCTTTTGTTTTTTGTTGAAGGGTGGCTATCAGGCAGGCTATAAAGTCCCCTGACCTGGAGAGCTCAGGCTAGCTTAATCTCAGAAGCGAAGCAGTGTCAGCTCTGGTCAATATTTGGAAGGGACACCACAAAGGAATACCAGGATTGTGACACTGAGGTAGGCTATGGCACACCACTAAACATCTCTTGCCTTGAACACCGCAACAGGTTGCCATATGTCAGCTGTGGCTTGATGGCAATAAATAAATAACAATAATGTATTGTTAATTTTATCTGGTTAATTTTAAATTCTAGTTATGTAATTATCTGGTTAATTTTAAATTCTAGTTACCGTATGTTACTAGGATAGACTCAGAGTAATCAATGAGAAATGAGTAATTCCTTATAAGGTGAGTGTTCCTATTGAAAGGTAAAGAAAAGAACAAGATTTTAGATAGCCAACATAACACAGAAAAGGTGAAAACACTGGGGAAGGGTGTAAAGTCCCCCCCCCCAATTTTTTTGCAAAGCCTAGATTTTATCCATAAATAGATGAAATTAAAAGCAAAGTTACTAAGTTTTATTTTGCATGCCTGGCATCGATAAGTACAAATTGCAAAGGAATTTTTACAACAAAAACACTTTGGCACCTTTATGGTGTCACAAGACCATTTTTGACATTCTCTGTTATTAGTTAGGAATGATTAGGAATGACATCCCAACATTTACAGTACAGTTCTAATAGAGTTATACCATTTTAAGCCCATTGACTTCAATAGATTTAGAATGGTATAATGCTATTTAGGATGGCACTGTTAGTTGCCTTTGTTTTGCCTATGGCAAATTTAGAAGTCCTTAGCTCTAGTACAACAGCAAGTTAAAAGAATTTTGATAAGGGTAGTAATATAAAGCAGAGCTGTGTGGATTGTACACTAATTTTTAAAACACGGCTATAAACACATTCACTTGCGTTTAAACGAGATTGTTTAGATCTTTACAAACTACATGACACTTAGTTGCAATTATCGATTCTAGAATCACACCTCCCTATGGGATTCCAAAAAAGCCTAAGTACTATATACAAGCAGCTGCTTTGTCAGATTGTTAGCAAGAATGCTAAACACGATCAGAGAGCTTAAGTAGATCATTGTAGTTTATCTGAACATCGCTTTTCTGCCTGCCATATGTTGTAACATAGATTTGCTCTTTGTGATGATCTATTCCCTCTTCTCCTATCATGTCAGTGGCTTGGGAGGAAAATAATTTCGTTTGTCTGGCATGGGTACAATAGTTCAAATTAAAAACACCAACAATCCTGAATTGCAAATGTATTATTTAAAACCCACACATTTCACACACATTGCTTCATGACCCACGAAGCCTGCAACTTCATTTCAAAACGGAGCAGCTGGAATCAATGCTCCCTCTAAGCTGCGGAGTCCTGTGAGCAAAAATTCTACTTGGTGAGCTCCTGGCATTAGAGTTGTGAGCGAGCGACTTGGCTACTGCATAAATTAGTTTGCTCTGGAGCCATCCTTCCTGAGCTAAGACAAAATGTGTGAGCCGGAGGCTAAAAAACTGAGCTAGCTCACACTGACTCAGCTTAGAGGGAACACTGGCTGGAATACTTTGCTCACATTCAGCCCTTTCTCAGAGGCAGGAGAAAGTGTTAGAGGGAAGGAATCTAAGTCGGCTGGAAGACAGGGGGGAAAGCAAACCTCCATCGATTTCTTTTAACGATGAAAGATAACGGAAAAATAAATTCCCCGATTGGTCACTGGAGCCTCCAGAACCACTTAAAAATATGAAAAGCCTCACGACAAAAAAACAAACAAAACAAAACCTCTTTCGTTTCCATTTACCTAAACCCCCCCTACCTCCCGCATGCGCAGCTCACAACAGGCTTCCCAAACCCCGAAGCTGGGGCGCAAGGCATGCTGGGTAGCGTTCCTTGGTAACTGTTGCTAGGATCGGCCTAGCGCCCCCTCGCTCGTCTCCAACCGGCAGAAAGTTTAATTCGCAAAAATGGTGAAGCAAACGATCCAGATCTATGCCCGGGTGAAACCTCTGGGCAGGAGGCAGCCGGCGGGGGTAGGTGCGGAAAACGACAGACCAGGGCAAGGGGCGAGTAGGTGGGAGAAAGGGAGAGGACAACAAAAGTCCAGATCTGGAGGTCTCTGTGGGTTATTGAGGGGAAAGAATACTGATAGCAGGGAGCTTGAGGTGGTCGTGTGCAATGTTCCCTCTAAGCTGTGGAGTCTTGTGAGCAAAGATTCTACTTTGTGAGCTGCTGGCATTAAAGTTGTGAGCGAGGGATTTGGCTACTGCATAAATTAGCTTGCTCTGGAGCCATCCTTCCTGAGCTGAGACAAAAATCTGTGAGCTGGAGGCTAAAAATCTGTGAGCTAGCGCACACTTAACTCAGTTTAGAGGGAACACTGTAGTGTGTTTGCATACACCTAGGCAAGGTGATTCAGGGAAACTGCTTTGTAGGGCAGCCAGCCTAATCGTGTGGTATGGGAAATATGACTCGCCTACAAGGCGGTTGTAGAGGTGACTGCTTGGAAAGTAGGTGTGTCAGCTGCACTTGGAAAGGCAGATGCTAACGACCATGCTATTTATGTGATTATTAATCAAGTTATCTTGAAAGAGCTCATTTCTGGGTAGTCACTCCATCGTCCCCATTCTAAAAGGATGAGCTTTCACTGCACAGTGAACTTTCATGTTAATCATATCGAACTATCACCGGGACAATGGATTGTAAAACAGGTGAAGTTGAATCTCCGTGACAGGAATTGTACTGTAAGATTTAAGTCAGATTTTTTGAAAAGGAAAAGGGACGTGTTCCGTATCTGTGGCATTGTTCTCTAGAGTGGCCATGTAGAGAATGTGAAAGGTTTTACCAAAGGAATAGCAAATTGTGGGGGTTTTTTGGGTTGCCAAATTTTATTATGGTGACATGCAGAAATTTAGCAAATTAGTCTCTCTTTTCAATCAAGCCGTGGGATGGCCCGGGTTAGCCTGATCGTGTCAGATCTCAGAAGCTAAGCAGGATTGGCCCTGGTTAGTATTTGACTGGGAGACCCACAACGAAGTCCAATATTGCTATTCTGAGGCAGGCAATGGCAAGTCACCCCGAGCGTATCTTGCTTTGAGAACCTGTTGTGTACTGAGCCTAATCTCGTCAGCCCCAGCTTGGGGACACAAAACAATGGATTGCTAGGATCCTGGGATGGACCTGTCACCCAGGAGTGCCTCTGTAAATAGCCTATTGCTGGGAGTGGGTGTGTGTGATGGGTGTGCCGTTTTACAGACTTATAAGCAGGGCTCTGGCCCTGCTAGAGTTGTCTTTTACTTTGCGCTGAAACCACTAATAAACTATGAGCTACTCATTCAACACGTCGGAACCCAGTATATTGCACTGGCAACGAAGGTGGGATCCTGTTGAGTCAGCCCAGCGCCCTCCAGAACCGCTTTGCACCCCGAGCTTCTGAGCCTCGCACACCGCATCACTACCGGGATCATCGCTACCATGGCTGCCACTCCAGGACATCTGTCGGAGTTCAACCCTGCTCCCCCAGAGCTTTGGGAAACCTGGGTGGAGCGGCTGAAGTTCTTCATCGTGTTCCAGGGCATCACTGACGCAGACAAGAAGAGGGCTCTCCTGCTCAGCGCCTGTGAAATCTCCACACTACGGCTAGTCCAGGGCCTCGTTGCGCCCATCACTTTGGAGGCATCTTCGTATGAAGACCTCCTAAAGGCGCTCACCAACCACTTCGCGCTGCAACCCACCAAGATGGCACGTTGCGTGGACTTCTATTCATGCCAACAGAAGCCCAACAAAGCAGCCACTGACTTTGTTGCTGACCTTCGCCGGTTGGCCCTCCACTACGGGTTCTCGAACCTGGATGAGACCCTGCTCGACCAGTTCATCATGGGGATCCGAGAACCTAAGCTTCGCCGCAAGCTCATCAGACACGTGGAGCTGACCCTAGTGACCATGCTACGTGAGGCCACCGCCTTTGAGAAGGCCCAGAAGGGTCGCCAACACTCCAGCGCACACCAAGCCTCCATCCCCTCAGCTTCGGACGCATCCGATGAAGAGGAAGCCCATCAGGTCTGCTGCCTGACTCGCCGTGACCAGCATCCACCCACAGCCCCCACGCTTCCAGCAGAAATAACCACGCCACCTCCCTGCGCCAGCTGCGGAGACAACCACAAATGTCGCTCCTGCCATTTCCGCGACACGACCTGCCACAACTGTAGTAAGCTGTGTATAGATGATGGTAACAGTATTAAAGTAAGTCCAAGAAACAATAAAAAAATGGAAACCTGTGTGCGTACTGCGCTACAAAAATAGTTTAAGTATTTAAAATGACAGTGTAATAATACAGAGTGCAAATATATACACAATCAACATTTCACAAGGTAAGTACAAAAATAAGCAAATTGATGAGATGTTAACGACGATCTCCGGAATGTCATTAACATCTCATCAATTTGCTTGATTGTGTGTATATTCGCACTCCCCCCAATTGATGTTGATTGTGTGTATATTCGCACTCTGTATTATTACACTGTCACTTTAAATACTTAAACATTTTTTGTAGCACAGTACGCACACAGGCAACTGTAGTAAGACCGGCCACATTGCACTTGCCTGCTGCGCCAAGAGCCTCCGAAGACGCACCATGACACACCCAAGAGTCCGCAGAAGTACACACCTTGGCCATCCGCCAGAATGAGGTATTGAACTTGCCCCAGGACATCCCCCATAAGATAAAAGTGACTGTGTTTATAGAAGGGGCGCCTTGCGAGATGGAACTGGACACGGGGTCCTCCATCTCCATTATTTGGGACGGGACTCTCTGGAGGCTCTGCCCACCGGGGGGAGGCACCTTAAGCCCACCGGCTTCACCCTCAGAGACTTTCATCAAGGGCTGGGGTAAGTTCTGTGTTAAATACCGCAGCTTCGAGGGACTGTTGGACTTGCTAGTGGTCGAAGGGCGGCACACGAGTTTACTGGGGTTATCATGGTTCGCGCCTTTAGGTTTTGAAGTAATGGGGGTGCACCACATGGCCTCCAAGGACTTCCAAACGGTGTGTGACAAGTTCCCGGTAGTATTTGACGGGATGCTTGGTTGCTACACCGGGCCTCCGGTCTCCCTGCAACTCAACCCGGAGGTGCGGCCCATTAGACTAAAGGCCAGATGTGTTCCCCTTGCCCTGAAGCCCAAAATAGATGGAGATCTGGATCGGTTGGTGGCCCAGGGGGTATTGGAGCCAGTTCCGCATGCTGCATGGGAGACCCCTATTGTGACCCCGGTCAAGCCCAACGGGGACGTCCGCATCTGCGTGGACTATAAGTGTAGTATAAACAAGGTGCTACAGGACCACGCCTACCCGGTCCCCGTAGTCAACCACATCCTGGCCTCCCTAGCGGGGGCCAAGGTCTTTGAAAGCTGGACTCAGCGCAGGCCTACTGACAGCTCCCAGTTGACGATGCAACCACTGAGGCACAGACGATTGTAATGCACATGGGCGTGTTCCGAGTGCGGCGGCTGTAGTTCGGGATCAGTGTCACCCCGGGAATGTTCCAAAATCTAATGGACTCTCTCCTTAAAGGAATTCCTGGGGTCCAGCTATTTTTTTATGATGTTCTCATCACTGCCCCCACAGATGAGGACTTCGCCACCCATCTCCACGCTGTCCTGCAAAGGTTCCATGATGCTGGCCTCAAAGTAAAGAGGGAAAAGTGTCTCCTGGGGGTCTCCCGGGTCGAGTTCCTGGGCTTCTCCGTCAACTCGCACGGCATCCATCCCGCTGCCGACAAGGTCCATGCCATCGTCAACGCCCCGACACCCACATA